CCTGCTGAATTTCACACTGTCTCTCACACCTCAAAGCCATCACAAGGTTATAGCAATCCGATTATTGATTGACTCTAGAGCTCTTCATTATACTTTATGGACTACTTCAAAACCATGCAGTACTGACTGAGTAGAGATCATTAAAGAATACCATCTGGTACAGTTAACACACATATTAGCCTCTGAGGATTTACAGGATTTTGTCTGGACAGTACTTCGAAGGATTTTATTCACATAGAAACTTGGGCTTCCCGAGTCCTTTTTCCAGAAAAGTAAAGCAGTGGAAATGGTGTAGCTTTCCCCCACGCTCACACTCCACGTTGAGTCTGAAACTCAACGCTGAAGAGCCTTTACTCAGGAAGATGTCTATCTTTGAGTCCCTGTGTATCACAGTCAGCCTCAACGTTTCTCCTTACTTGCTGCAACCCTTTCCAATGGTTTAAGCTTCAGCACAATTTGGGTAGGCTGGAGTTTTTTCTTTGCCTTCAGTCTGGCCCCAGTTTCACAAGACTTCTGTGGAACAACTGGCATATTTGTCTCCATAGCCCATACCCTACTGATAGCGTGGATGCAACAACATGTTGAGCATGTGGACGTGTCTGCCAGAGATTAGGCAAAACAGAAGGTAAAATCTATGTTGGCTTATTTGTGCCTGTTATAGTTCTGTGCCAAAGCCAAGTATTAGCCCACAGAGAAATTTTTGAACACTAGTGTCAGAGTTATTGGTTATTTTGCTTCAGTTGCTCTTGCCACTGTCACTCCCATGGGATTCTACTGTTTAAATGCAGATGTCTGCATCTTACCTTGCTCTTTAAATGCCATTATGGGACAATGGAGACAAACACGCCCTTCTGACTTTTTCTCTTATCCCAAAGTAGACATCTAAAATAGGTCAGATGACTCATGTCTTAGAACAAGCAGTTGCCTATTTGTAGGCACCCATTGACACTAAAAGGTACCTAGGGACTAGCTCAGACATAAGCATTCACGATACACGTTTCTGGAATTAGCTGAAATGAATCCTCTTCTGCAGATCTGTATGCCACTGAAACAAGTATTTTCAAGTTTAAGATTGTATTCGTACCAACAGGCTCCCCTCCACATGCTTAGTACGTGATGGCTTCATCGCCCACCCCAAGGATGACTTTCCCAGGCTGTTGAGAAGCATAGCCTTGGCTCTGGGGGCTGGGGGGCAGGCAGTGCAGGACCATGCTCATCCAGCCTGGAGAGGGAACCTTTTCATCTCCAGGGGAATGGGACATCCTGAGTTTTATATCACCCCTAAAATTCCCAGAGAAACTTACATCTGATGTGTAAAACCTAGTGTAACAATAATTCTAGGTTTTAAACTTTGAAAAAGCCAATGTTAAGCAAGTGACTATAGTATCAAATATTTGCAAACAGAGAAGAAAATCCATTATCCACATTCCTCATATATTATGTTGCCTTGTCCTCAAAAGCTGTCTAATTTCTTCCTTTTATTAAAAATGATATTTTCACCTTTTCTGCTTCAGCACCATTGCTAGGTTGGAGTTGGCCCTGTCTGTTTTCCCTCTCTCCTAACACATCAGTACATCTTTTTATTTGCTTTTTCTGTCATTGTCCTTAATTACAACATTATTTTTACTTGAAAAGCTTTCTTACACATTTCTCACAGCTGTCTAGATAGTATATCACAAAAAATAGCTATCAACATATTAGATGCATGAGGTGGGAGTCAACTTAAGACCAAACCATAAAAAGTTTTGTACCTGCTTGGGAGCTAGGCATTGCATCCAATACAAACCTTGTTGATATCGTTAATGAGTGACTCAGACAGCAGTCAGACTACTTCAGAGTGAGGTAAAACCCTCTAAATCCTCCCTATATCTTCCATCAGGTGTCAGGCAGCACTCTTCCCCTGTACGTGCACGCTTTGATTTGCCAGGAGCCCACCAGAATAATGTAACGCAGGCTGATGTGCGTGCAAGCAGATGAAATGAAGGAATCCTGTCTGGTTTATGAAGCTCTGGTACTCCTTATGGCACTCTTTCTTCTGTAGTATCTAAATTAGTTGCAAAATCCCATCTGTGGATCTTCTCAGAGACAAACCCTGAACTGAGTAAAAATAAAATCATAATTTTAAACTTTGCTAAGCCTAAGTCATATTTAGAACCTGCCAGAGCCCTTATGTGGTACTGAGTATGTGACAGTGACCTAGAAAAACGAATGTCCAGGAATTATTCATGCAGAATCCTCCCCCGCTCTCCTCTCGCACTCTCGGAGAGGACAAGACAGTGACCCATCGGGGTTGAGCACCTGCACCCGAGCCGTGGTCCGTATGCCGCCACTTGTTTCTGATGGAAAATTTCACTGCTTTTAAATGTCACCGTAACAAAACAGTCCTAACAGGAGTGGAGGGATGATAAGTGTGTAAAATATGATGCTGTGAGATGTGTGTTCAGGGAAAGGATGAGAGTCAGAAAATAGCTCCGTAGCTAGATGTCAGGCTGTGAATAAACCAGACTATTTGGTTGACGGAAGGACGGTCAACCAAAATGTATATATTCTCAGGATAAAAATTGTTCAATTTAGATAGCCTGTGGATTTGCCTTGCAGCAGCATGTTAGGGCCTTAACAATCGGACAAGCGAAAGAATTGCATCACAAATTTCTGCACTATCCTTGTAAACAGCCTTGCTATCAAATCAGTAAATGAGGCCTTATTGCTCATCACTGAAAAAGCCCAATTTCAGCAAAAAGAATTGAAACATGTGGCAGGGGAGGGAGGGGAAGGAAAAAAGTGGTCTCCGCACTTTAAAGTTATGAGGGACTTTGGAATGGTTCAGGTGAGAGCATCACCAGAGAGAAGTGTTGAACCCGATCTGTCTCTATGTGAAGCATTTTACCAAGCTTTCGTACTTGATGTGTTGCTTGTCAGCTTCAATCTCTTCTCTTTCTTCTCTCATCAGGAGGCCAAGAAGACTGCATCCTTTCTTATGAACCTGTCACCAGACAGGAAAGTAAGTTTTATCTGCTTTTCTGTCACTGTTCCTTATATTTTTCATTTCACATTTTGGGGGCCAGCAGAGCAATAAGCCTTGCTGTGCCAGCCCCAGATTCTCTGTGCCTCCTTTTTCTTGGCCACTTTGTCTACTGCATACAAAAGAAATGATGTAAATGGTCTCCCTCACTAGCCCCCTCTTCCTAACATTCTCAGGACTCTTGCCTCATATGCTCTCATGGCCTTTACTAATAAATATGTTAATCAGTCGCCAAAATATTCATGCAGATTTTCTAGATTTACTGCAATATTGTTACATGGGAAGCCTTTATTATTTTCCTTCTCATGTGATACGTGCCTCTAACCAGGGTAGATGAACCTATGGGAAGACAACTGAAAATGATAGCGCATCCACCTGATTTAATGGGGGATGCACTCATATAACAGAGGAGAAAATATCCTACAATATCCTTTCCATGCCTCACGAGAGAGTCCATCTGCAAGCATTTGGGAGTGACCTCATTGAGCAATAGCAAATATATACACTTCCACATAGTCATTTGACTACATATGTATGCACCATCCCAGAGCTCTGCAAAATGAGTGGTGCTCGTTCTTTTTTCCTTATCCATGTCAATAAATAAATTATTCATCGATAAAATGCACACCTAAGTTTTCACTTCATACATAAAGGCAACAATTCAGGTTAGTGCATCTTTGGGAAGATTTGCTGTTATTGCTAGTAAGACCGTCAAAATGTGCCTTTCTTTTTGTTGTTCAGTTAATTACACCAGACCAGTTATTATTCTGGGTCCTATGAAAGATCGGATCAACGATGATTTGATATCTGAATTCCCTGATAAGTTTGGGTCATGCGTACCACGTAAGTATGATTTTATTCCTTGTTCTGCAGCTGAGTGAGTTGTATTCCTTGGTGCCACACATTGAGTAAATTGCTGTGAAAGCAGCATCCATGAACTATATGTAGTTGAGTTTCTCAAAAGCCATTTTTCCATTGGACAAAAAAGGGGAAAGGAACAAACAAAAAATATTGTGAAGGTCTGGAAAGAATTTCTCAAAAGAATTGTCTCAAAAGATGTTGCATTTTTTTAAAGAAGGAGCCTTCTAGCCACTAACTCAATTTACTCATCAATTAATCTGTGGTTTCTTAAATAAGATAAAATTTTTAAATGTTTCAATGCAACTGCACAGCATCCATCAATAAAAATACGGAATAATCTGTGATTTGTGTGAGATCTAGACTGTCTAATCTGAAAGCAATATTGGACCCTGAATTAAGCACAGTGTTTATATCTTGGATCATTAGAGCTTGCTGAGTGTTTATTTCAGATCCTGATTGCAGTCTTACTTCATTTTAAACTGTTGTCTCTGCAAATACATCAGCTTAAAACTGCTAGAGATGAGACCAGAATCAGCCTTATTATCAAGGCTAAATGAAATTGATGAGATTGCGATTCATTTTATCACTGTAATAGGATTAGATTAACAATCTGGAATGCATTTTGTATTTGGGGTTTGTGTGTGATCCTGAAAAAGTGGAATTCTGGTAAATCCTAATTTTATGATAGCCTGTAAGTATTGATTGGAAGAAAACATCAGAATGTATTACTTTAAAAAGACAGCTTTATTGTCATAACTTCATTGAAAACAATATTTAGTAGTAGTAGATCTGCTCCCATATGTGGAGCACCTCCACTTACAGCAGACCCAGCGTTGTCCACTGAGCAAACCTTAATTGCAGCATTTTTTGCATGAATTGGTTTTACAGACTTCTTGATCTTCTGCCTTTTATTTCATGCAGATACCACACGGCCAAAGCGTGACTATGAAGTGGATGGGAGAGATTATCATTTTGTCATTTCAAGAGAACAAATGGAAAAAGATATCCAAGAGCACAAATTTATAGAAGCTGGGCAGTACAATGATAATTTATATGGAACTAGTGTCCAGTCTGTGAGATTTGTGGCAGAAAGGGTAGGTTGACGCTAGTTTTATTGACCATGTAACGTGATCTGTTTTGTTTCCACATTATATCTCAGAGATGATTCTTATGCCAAAAGTTTAAAATATCTGCAAAACAGCATCCTAATATTTATAGGTTTTATAATGACTCCACAAGGAGTGCCTGACTTTGAATGACATCATCCTTGGTGCTTTCTGTCCCTTGATGAGTGTTATTGATTCAGGGATCTAACACAGAGCCTCAAGTATGCCCCAAAGCAGCCTTCCCTCTTCCCTCTGTACGACAGGTAAATAAACTTATCACATTTTCACAGAGGCAAAAGAACGAAGCCCAGAAAGATTAAATGACTTGCCTCAGGTGACACAGGGAGTCTTTGACAGAAACAAGAACTGAATTAACCAGTAAGAACATAGACATCCTGTTACTTTTATGAACTGATTTTCCTCATCTCTGAAGAAAATCCTCTCATCCCTTCCCCTGCAAAGTTCATCCCAGTAAAAATAAAAACCAAGTTTGTTCCCACATCTCCAGTGTATATTGTGTATTAGCACAAAAGCAAAGGAAAGAGCGCAGAGGAGTGGAGCGCATGCCCTGGGGTCCCTCTTCCCTGGTGTGCCAGTCATGGCCCCGTTCCAGGGCACTGCGACGCAGAATTGCTTCCCGTCTTTTGCCTGATCTGCAGCAAACTCTGCAAAAATAAACACATCCTCATCTGTTTCCCACAGGGCAAGCACTGTATACTCGATGTGTCAGGAAATGCTATCAAACGACTACAAGTTGCACAACTCTATCCCATCGCTATCTTCATTAAGCCTAAATCATGGGAGCCTCTGATGTAAGTATAAACTCCCTCAAGCATTTTATTTTCAGGGTACAGTCTCACATGGCACAACACAGCTCTTGAGTCTACATTTTTCCTATCCTTTACATTCAGTAATAACGAGAGGAAGTGGGAACAGTGGAGACTTGCTCTCCCTGCCTACCATCCACTGTATCCCAGCATCTCAAGAAACAAGCCAAAGCTGCCTTTGAACCTTTCACACTGGGACATGTGTGCTTACTTGCTGGACACAAAGGACTCCCTGCCAGTGCTTGGTGTATTTGCTCCAGCAAGTTCACCAAGGACTCATGCAGCATGACTTGTCCCATCCAGCCTTGGGTGCTCTTGGGGTGTAGAGCCTGGTCAGAAGGTAAACCTGTGTCAGATTTGCGGTGTATGCCTCTTTGTCAGCCTTCATTTACTTGAAGGTCTGTAAGAGGGCAGGCAAGGACCCATGGGACAGGAGAGGGTCAAACATAACAAAGAAGGAAAGAGAAGGCACCAACTTCATGCTGCCACCAGGCAACCTAATTTCAACACTCAGAAAAACACTGGGATCCAGGGAACAGTTAAGTGACTCCAGTATATTAATTGTGAGGATAAAAAGGTTCTAAGAGTCAGCCAATGTATGTGCATCAAGAGCAAATCAAATCAATCTTATGTCCTTCTTTCATTAGATGGATATGAATAATTGTATTGCATCTCAATTTTTATTCTGGCTCCATGGGACATTCTCAGTAGCGGCTTAGGGAAATATAGTCCAGAGGGAATGACTAGAGAGCATGTGCACAACCATATTCAGTCATTGAAAATGGCACTGTCAAACTGGGAGGGTAACAGAAATCCTGCAAGTATATTTCCTGACCTGTGTCCCTATTTGGGACTACTCGTTATCTTCATTAATTACTTGAATGACGAATTTGGCAATACTTTTGTAAAGTTTGTGAATATCTCAAGGCTGAGTGAGGTGGAAAGCACTTTGAAGGATAAGATTAAAACTCAATGTAAAATCACTAAGATGAAATTCAGCACAAACAAAGGAGAGAAAATCAAATGCATGAGTACAAGCAGGGAATAATTAAGCTGTAGCACTGCAGAAAAGCATCGGGCGACTGGGATGGATCACACAGAGATGTGAATGGATGGATAATGTGGTTGCAAAAAAGGAAACTGCCACTGCGGGCTGTGTTAACATCAGTGTTGAGTAAGGACACAATAGAGAGTTATTTTGTTTTACTGGGTACGGATGAGGCCTCAGCTGGAGCGCTGGCCTGGTTCTGGGTTCCACCCTGGCAGTGGAGGAGGAACGGGGGTTACCTAGTGTCAAGGAGAGAAGGCTGAGGAGGAAATATGGAAGTGATCTTCATACTGGTTAAAGCTCAGGATAAAATACATTTTGATCAATTGTCTTCCATGTACACTTATGGTAATGCAAGAGTTATCAGCTTCATTTGCCGTGATAGGGATGAAATTTTGAACTCTTTGCCTTCCCCTCACCAAAGGCTCTGCAAATGCCAGGTGATGCCATAGGTATCTGTTACACAGCTAAAATGTAGGCATCCCTCCTCCCGTGCCAGATGCGTATCTGGTCACGGTAGCGGTGTGCCCACAGCCACTGGGTGACAGAGGTGGAGGACGCTATTCCCTGAACCCATCCCATGAATGGGCATCCTCCCCGGCCCTGCCTTTTGTGATAAGGTTGCTGCATGTCCAGCTGCATTACAGGGTATAACGTACGGTACGTGGTACTTGCACAGCCCCACTCTGACCAAAGCAGTCTTGGGTTGTGACTTCTTGACATTTCTTCAAGCCCTACAATTCAATTATATTCTAATTATGTTGCTGTATAGAAGGGGAAGGGTAGTCTGATAGCCTACCTTCTGCACTGATTTTTTTAAGATAGATCTTAACCTACAGTTTCCCCATCCATAAAATATTTCCATTATTTGTTTAATGCTGACATTGCATCTGGAGTGATAAAAAATAAAAAAGAAGTAAATAAAAGTGCCCCTTACTCTGAAAAATGCATTAGGCAGAACCAGAAATGTGGCAATAACACAAATGCTACATTGATTTGATGTAAGAACAGCAGATCCTCGAACAGATTGACTGAAAAGCATTATGAAGATGCAAACCATTGTGACAATCATCCTGTTACTAAACCAAAGCAATGCTAATCTTTCACTTAGGACAAAACAAGTTATGCAGAGTTAGCAGAATTTTCCTTACTGGTATAAATCAAAAGTTAGCTATTCTTCACTCTGCAAATCTAAAACTGCCTCAGTGTTGGCAGTATGGTAGGGATAAACAATGTGAAATCCATTATATGACTTTGAATTCCTTGTTCTGCAAATACCCTGTGGAAGACATCCTTAATTAGAAATCCAAATTTCCATGTGCCAGCAAAAGTCCGTATATATCGGTACTAGTTTGGGATTTTTTGCAGTTACATGGCTTATATAAATAAATTATGTAAACACAATACAACTCCTGGAAAAAAAAAAAAAGAAAAATGTAATGAATTCAGGCATTCTAAGTTAGTTTATCCCCTGCAACCTGCTCTCCACAAGTAATCTTTTTATCTAGTTAATCTTTTATCTTATCAAACAGTACCCAGAATTAGTTTCTAACAGAAATGAGAACTCTTTTAATATGAACAGTATCATTCTTTGTAAAGAAATATCTTGAGAATAATGACATCATTCTGAGCCCCTTGCTGGTGAAAATCATTTATTTTATTTAGTAATGAAGCTAAATCACTCAGGGTCTGGCTAAACGAATACATACTCTGACATAAGTGGTAGTGATTTATAGGGTGTGCATAGATGAATGGATATAACACCTTTCCAATACTATTTTTTTTAGCATCAAGTTTAACATGGTAAACCAATGCTCTGTGGGAACAGAAAGAGGACATTTTTATGACAGCATAACTGTGTTCACTCAGTCTTTTTTATGTATGTAACTACTACAACACAAAAATTATCGGTTTATCTGCCATAACTTTTACCCCTGTTCATACAAGTTGAAAGTTAATGTAACAGTAAAGTAAAACCATAAAAGGCAAAAAATTGCTAAGCAGAAGATGCAGAGAAACAAAATCAAAACATTTAACTTGCCGCAAAATTAGCACTGAAAGTTGAAGTCGAATTCTTACGCATATGCTCCTTTGCACCCATTGGACAGTGAAGGTAAGAAGAGTGAAGGGAGTATAAATAAAGCTTGCACCTGCACTTGAAATTTGGTTATTGCTGGTTCTCTGGAAATACCCTACTAACACTAATGACCACAGCAACGGAACACCACAAGGGTAGATGTAAAAGCAAGCAGAACACCTGGCCCAAGCCAGATGTCTCCTGATCCTGCTTTCTTCAATTAAATTCAGTACTGGCAATCACATTGCTGTAAACAAACTGCTCTCTCCTTTCCTTCCTTCCTTCCTTCCTTCCTTCCCCACCTCCACATGACTCCACCTCGCAGATATAATCCCAGAGGCATCCCTGTTGGTACCTCTCTCTCTCCAGAAGGAGGATGGTGGTGGGATCATGGGGATGAGAGCTGGAATTAACAAAGAGCCTGCCTGGGTGAGCTCTTCACTGAGAGAGGAGGAAAACCCTGGAAAATGTGCCTGGAGGGACAGCTCTTTGCCATTATTTTGAGTTCACCAGCTGTGCAGGTCCCTGGCTAGGAAATAAAAAGTAAGAAGGGACTATGGTTTGACAGCACTTTTAACTCATCATGAAAAATGGACATCATGGTCCTCCTCCTTCTCCATCCTCTCTCCTGAAGGCACAGAATGGGCAGAGGCATGAATACAACTAGCATAGTTTTATACCACAGGCAAATCTACAACCTGAAAATGTAATACTAATTTCTATTTATTTCAAAGTACTTACTATTTTAAATGTTTGTTTATATTTTTATTTGTATTTTCTTCTCTGATATTCAAAGATCTTGAGGAATAATTCTCAGAAATTTACCAGAAATAAATCTGGAAGGAGGAGGATGTTGTTAGAACTAGAATATTGGCTGAGCGTCCTTAGGATGAAAATGTGAAGTTTGCGTAAGAATTTGCAGTGGTATGTCCCACTTTAAGACAGCGTTTTGGTTTAGTCACCTAAAGAAGTGCTCAAGTAGGCGTAGCTGAGAAGCCCACCTGAAGTCAATTAGACAGCAATCTTTCCAAGAAATAGAATTAGTAGTATTACAAATTTAGCAGCATGACACAGATTGGCATGTATTAAACCTATTTATATAATCCACAAATAACTAACTGTCATAAATTTTTAAAGAAATCTTTCTTATCCTTCATTTTATAAACCAGCCTTCTGCATTGCATTGGTACTTCCAGAGAGGTTTTTCCAAGCAGTGTTCCCAGCAATATAGGTAGTTATATAGATATACAACTTCAAGTCATTTCTAGAAATACCTTTTTGCATCCTGGACACCTTACAGGGTGTCTTTCACAAGCCAGGTAGGAGTTAGCTGTAGCAAATTCATACTGTTGTGCACTTCATCGATCTTTTTTTTATGCACGATCATGCACATGATTTCCTACATGCATCACCCATGTCATACTGTATACAGTCCATTACCACATAATCATATGATTCAGTGCAAGGCATTAAATCAGATTTATGTAGAACACAAGATGTTCCCTTCTCTTGCTTTCCTAGTTGCCTCAGAAAATTTCCATCATGTTTTAAGAAAAATAATCCATGATGTGAAAAAATGCTAGAACAAGCAAACTCTGTTTATTATTGCCAATTAATTTGGATATCTGCAGGCATATATGTGTAAGGCAGTGAATGAGTATGAGCTTGATTCTTTGCAAGTATACAGTGGTACTAAAAGCTGAGCGTGCATGGGCAAGACAAGTCATTTCTTAAAGTTATTAAATAATGCCTCTGTTGAAACAGAAGTGCTCCATCCAATAACAAAACATTGGCAATAACAGAATGTTACTGACACTGTCTATGTTTTTACATTTATTGGTACCCTGTACATTTTAAATCTACAAGACACACTTGACTGGGAATCTCACTAGTTAATCAGAAAGGACTGGAACAGAGAACATAAATAAATAACTCAACTCTTCCTGCCGGAAAGGCTCAGTTTGATTTCTCATGATATCTGGAACTCATGCCCCCACCTGAACCAAGAAGTCTCCCGGGAAGACATGCTGGGTCCTTCTGGGGCTTCCCTACAGGGTTTACAATGACTCTGGGATTCCTTCTACAGGGTCAGGAATCTCACTGTGCTGAATCCTGCCTTTAATCATGCTTTCACTTCCATAGCTCCAGCTTCAGTCAAAACCCAGCTTCCATTTCAGCAGTTTGGACAACCTTGTTCAGCCAAGACAGCCAGCTGTGGGCCTGGGAGACAGAGATGTTCCTGAAGGAGCTTCAGCTCTGGAGACAGGAGTGCTCTGCGTGCTCAGACCTTGAGACATCCTGGGTCCCAGACTTACCCATGGGTTCCTGATGCCACAAGTCCATCCCAGTTAGCCATTACCAGATTTGGACCTCGTCTTTTGTTTGGGAATGCACAGTAGTGAACCCAAAAAAAAAAAAAAAAAAAAAAAATTAGTGGAGAAATGGGAAATAGTCTGGAAATGTAGGTTTATGCTACATAAGAATGAAATTAAATTTAAAATACTGAATCTGCCCATGACCTGATGGAAGAATTTCACTGTTTGGTTCTTGTACTGGTCTCAATCTGTCTGTGACTCAGTTGCACATATCTTTTAGAAAGAGGTTCTAGTAAGAGTCTAAACTTTTTGATGACTTCCTCTGTGGTTCTAGGGAAATGAATAAACGTCTTACAGAGGAGCAAGCGAAGAAAACCTACGATCGAGCAATTAAATTAGAACAAGAATTTGGAGAATATTTTACAGGTATGTTTTTATTAAAAACTTCTTTTTTTCCCCAAGATACAGTGTTTTATTGCAAAACAACTGGATCAGCTCTGTCTCTGGCTTAGAGTGTATATCAGTGTAGTGTGCCCACAGTAAGGACGCCTGGCTTGAGACTATTGTTTCCCTGAAATTCAAGAGCAGTCGAGGCATTCAACTCCTCACAAATTTGATGCCCTGAAGGAATAGCTATGCATTAATTTGATTCTATCCCTGACTCAAAACTGCTTTTAATGAAGTCAGTAAAAATGTTGCATCATTGCATTTGTACAGAACAAAGAATTCTTTGTTAGCTTAAGACAAGAGCTCAAGCTATGGATCATGGGAGGGAAAGAGAAGGGCATCTTCTTCTTGACCTGAAAAAGAGCAAGATTTAAGACCTACTCTGTGTCCCAGCTTTTCCTTTGGGCAGGTTTAGGCAGCTCCCTACTCAGGGGACTGAGTGCATAACACTCAGAAGCCCCCAGTTGTCCCTCCACATGCTGACAGTGCACATAATCTGAACTGCAGTTCCAGATTTCTGCTGAGGGGACAAGGAATTTAAGAGTATAGGCAGTGTGCTTTGCATTGCAGTTGCTTTATCTTCTGTCAACTTGAGCCTGATCTAGTTAACTTTTGCAGCCAAGAGTTAGTTTATTATAACCAGGTCAGGAAAAGAATAGGCCGTAAATCTGCTGCTACGCACTGCTGAAGTAGCTTCTACATCAAATGAAATGTAAAGCCTGTGCAGTGGGAACCTACCATGCTGGCCTCCCCTAGGAGAGAACTGCTAGTTATCTAAACTAACCAGGCTCAGCCTTCTCACTACAAGCAGTGGGATGGACCTCTGTCATGGGAAGGTGCAATTGGTTTGAACTTAGTTGCCATCTGCAGAGGTATGACTTTTCCATAATCAACATCACAGTGTGCTAGTATTCCTTCTCATTTCATCAGTATCTATGAGTATACTGAAAATCTGCTGACGCTGGATGCTGTATAATATATCAATTAAAAGAAGTATTGATATCTTTTCTTACTGCAGCTATTGTCCAAGGAGATAGCTTAGAAGATATATATAATCAATGCAAACTTGTAATTGAAGAACAATCTGGGCCTTTCATCTGGATTCCTTCAAAGGAAAAATTATAAATTAGCCACTGCACCTCTGATTACGACGGGAGAATATTTAGAAGAAAACTATAATATACTATTTGGAGGCTTTCCTGTTTTTGTTGCATTTATGTTCTTTGCAGTCAATGTGAATTTTGATGAATGTACAACACAAAGTGTTTGAAGCCATGAAGGACACTGATGGGTCAAAGGGTAGGAACAAAAAGACTTCTACCATATAAAGCAAATCTGTTGTGTGCTCAGAGCACCAGTTGTAGGTATAAACTTTTGACATGGAGACCCTCTGTCAAGGGGAGCTAGCCACCTCCTGTGCCCATGCGGACATTTTGATCGATTTCAATGGCTGAGCTCAGTGTGTTGATTGCTTTAAAGAGAAGTTCCCAGCTCTTGAACCTCATATAGGGCTTGATCCTGCAAGGCGCTCAGCACTTGACCCCAATTCCCACACATGAGTAGCCTGTTGACTTGGAGTCACTTGTGATCCCTCCCTATGCCATTCAGTCCCATCAATTCCAGTAGGACTATTCATGTGCTCAAAGCTAAGCACAGGCTTAAGCTTTTTGCTAGATCAGGGCGACAGGCACCTTGCAAAATCAAGCTCAGAGTATTTGGTCCACTTCCTACTGAAGTCACTGGCCGGACACTCTTTGACTTGACTGGGACGTGGGTCCTATTCTAAGCTTGCCATTGCACATTTGTAGTTGGTACACCTCGACTTTGGTAACTATGCACATCCTTTGATTTCTGAAACCAAGTCAAGCATTTCTTTTTTCCCCTTTGGAAACACTATTGCATCAGAAACTAATAACAATATAGTTTATTTTAATGGAGTTTGGGGGTGGGAGAGGATGGAAGCATTTCACATCACACACACGTGCACACAAACACATTCCCATGTGGACACACACATGTATGAGGATTCACAGCACCTATGTTGACAAGGAGGGATACAACTGGGAAAAGCTTTAAAATTTTTGATTGTCTATTTTATCATTTATATTGATAGAAGGCACTTAAAGATGGAATAATTTATAAAAATAAAAATATATTGATGTATAGAAACTAATTTCTATAGGTAAAAATGTTTTTGTGAGATATTTTGTAAAGATTAATTAATTGAAAGATTAAATATTTACACCCTTGTACGACTGTAAAATGTAAAGAGGACCATCAAGTTGCATTATCCCTTTTCCGTAACAGATTCTCTATTATTATTGACAAGTAAGATAATTCCTTAAATTGTAGTTGTCATCTTGTTTTTCTCTCAATTTAATCCTCTCCCTTGCCTCTATTTAATCATGATGAACTCCTGTGGAAAGATCTCTTGAACTGACCGCCCTGTAGGAACTTTTCTGAACACAAAAGGATAATGCATCTTTAAATTGAAATGCAAAATTTTTCAGAAGCAAAATGCCAGTGCTTGAATGCAGTTAATAATTTCTCTCTTGGAGGGAGTCGTGCTTCACCTCCAAATGTTTTACAATTCTTCCTGTTTCTTTAAAGGAAATACCAAAAGCATTTGATCTTTCTTCTCTTTGCAGGCAGGCAGGTCACCAACTAACTTGTATCTTCATTCATTTCACAGTCAACAAGGGTCTTAAAAGCAAAAACTGAGGCAATGGACATTTGTGAGGGATTTGGGGAAAGTCTGTGGAATCGCAGTTTGGGGTGTGTGGAAGGGGAGAGGGGGGGTATGTTTCTTCTCGTTTCACATTGCCCTTCCTTTGTATACTGATGCCATTCTTCACTCTGACACACAAGGGGACGACTGCAAGAGATATTATGATAGTAACTGAATTGCCTTTGCTGCTGCTGGACCAAGTTTTCTATAAAACCCACACTCTCCTGCCTGCCGCACCGCAGGAGTCCGACGCTTATTAGCTGGTGGCTACAGCAACCCTAATGCTTAAGGACGTTTCAAGGGCAAATGCTAAACAGACTCCTCAGTTACTCGTCTCTTTGAAGCTTACATTTCTGCACCCTGTCAAGCTGACAGGTGTATCCAGCCAACCTCCGCGGACCGTGCGACTAGCTGGATGTTTGCGATATAGCCACCAGTAGTGACAGGGTTAAAAATACGGGCATTTCAGTGGGCCTGAAGTGGCCTCTCACTTACTGCCCTGCTATGGTAACTTTGAGGAGTTCACACTTCTGTAACTACTATTTTTCTTGCCTGGCCAGCACAGACTTACAAACAAGGGTTTCAGTTGAGTCTCCTAAAGAGCTTTGTAATCAGAAGGGCTAGAAATTTTTTTTACAAAATATAACTGAACGAAAGCTTAGATTTTGGATAATTCTGCAGAAATCCACAGAGTGACCCCAGATCTTTGGAAGCCATGGATTTTTCCATGCTGGCAAAGTACTATTGCCCCAGGTTGGGAAATAGCCCACCAGACCTGAAAAAAAACAAGTATCCTAAAGCAGGAACTTCATTCTAATTTTCAGCTCTGTTTTTAAGCAATCAATCACATCTGCTTCTTTGTTTCTTAGTTCAGCATGCAGCCTTTTACAGTACTATCCTACTAGTAACTGTTTTGCTTTGTCATGTGCTGTGCTTTACGGTGAACAGTAACACTATGGCTGAGTACAATCAATTTTTCCATCAGTCCTTGGTTACTGTAGTAACATTATTTATTTTTCCCTGTCTGTTGTTTGTGCTTCCAGTTTAGAGTTGCCATTGCACTTCTTTTTTTTTTTTTTTCTTTTTTTTTAAATAAAACATATATTTAAAAACAAATCACCAAGAGAAGCAGTGAGAGGTCTTATTTCCCTTAGGACTTGTACCCCCATTTGTTTTGTGCATTGATGTTTTGCGTTTCATGTTTCAGCATCCTCAGAGCTGCAGTTCATTTTTGCATTGCAGCTGTTCAGATCATACTGGGTGGTAGTGGGAGGAGAAAGAGAAACATAAGATTCATACAAAATTACATCTGGTGCAAAAAAAAAAAGAAGTCCAAACTCACAACCCACAGTAATTGGCACCTGAGACCACATTGGTGCTAACACAACTTAGCATAATCAGATCCCTTTTCCGTCCATGTAAAAGACTTGCGAGCGTCTAAACATGAGACAAATGCAAATGCTGGACCCTTTAGGAAAAGTGCCAGATCACACCCCTGGTGCTATTTCTCATGTTCTGGCACAGTGTGTAGCACCGTAGGGTCTAAGCAGAACCAAAATTATCACAGCTTTTTGTCCACCCATGAATGATCACAACGACATCTTGCTAGCTGTGTGCAGATGTGCAATATTACAACCTATTTATTTCTCCTGGCCACAAAGCATCTTCCATGCACTGACTCATTGAGAGCTTGCTAACAGGGCTCAGTGAAACGGCACTCTTTACTGGTCTTACGGTCTGACCATCAACCAGTGAAAGAGGCTTTTTCGTGCTTAATTCCCCCTTCCTACAGAGGTACCCTGTCCATGCTAGCGCTTTGTAATTTCTTTGGTAGTAAAGGCTGTTTCTAGATAAATATTCTGTGATGTAATTGTGTTTGTAGCTAGCATGGTTTGATGCTCCGGTGTGGATAGGGTCCTAGGAACCACCCTGTGAAAGTCAAGGATAAGAAATCTCTCCGTTGCACTGAAATTTCAAATCCTCATCCTGGAGAGCAGTGTGGAACCTCAGCTAATAACCACTATGAGCCAGCAACAGTGTCCTAGTTATATAACGTCCACCTACCTATTTACATTAGTTCTCCATGGAGAAAATGTTGGTGTTACACCTTCACTGTTACTTGCTCATCAGCACTCAGTCAAATTGTATTTTTGTTTTGGTTTTGTCATATTATTTGTTTTTCAAATTGTATCCCTGACCAAAGGATTCAGTGAGTGACAACACATGAGGATATTTGTAGGAAAAACAGTGTTAATGAAAAAAGTCTCAATCATCTTTTCAAGCTGCACATTTAAAGCCATAATATCTGCCGTGTTCACAGAAAGTGGTCGTTTATCCTTCACAGCTTTTAATCTCAACATTTTTTCTCTTGAACATTTTGTCTGCCATGTTATGCATGCGGTTCACTGTGCAACTGCATTCATGTGCTCAAGCCCATGCCTTGGTGGAATAAATGTATTTTCCTATTCCATTAAAAATCAGATATCTTGTCAGTTAGTTCAGAAGTAAGAATGAGGTTGTCATTATGTTAAAAAAGAGGCTCCTCAGCATCAAAGCTAACAGCAAATAACATCTAAAATCTAATCAGCATATAGCTAGCCTAGATCCTCAGCTGGTGTAAATCACGATCACTCCATTGATTTCATAGAATCATAGAATGGTTTGGGTTGGAAGGGACCTTAAAGATCATCTAGTCCAACCCCCCCCTGCAATGAGCAGGAACGACAGTGGAGTCCATCCCATATACACCACCTGAAGTTACACATTTGTTCTCCCCGTTACACCAACTTTTGAGCATTACTGTAAAACACCAAGGCCGTATGATTAAACAGCAGCTCAGCACTTTCCATCATTATTTACTGCTTATATTACTGTAGCACCCAGAGGGACAGGTCATGGACCAAGATCCATTTGAGGTAGGTGCTGTGAAATTGCTGAAAAAAGACACCCCATGGGCCAAATGCTGTGGCCGGATTTTCAGAAGGTTTCAGCCCCACTAACATCTCACCAAGAGCAATAGGAACCACTACCCATTGGCCCTGTTGAGATTCTGTCTTTAAGGTGAGGTGCATGAGATGCAATCCGTCATCCCTCACACCGCAGCTTATGCCATCTGGCCCTGAGCTACAGTGCAGGCAACTTGCCCTGGTGTAAAACAGCATTTCTGGGGATGGGCGGTAGCCAGCATCCTAGGCAAGATCTTTTTTGGGGGGGAAAAAAAAAAGGAAAAAAAAGGAAAAAAAAAAAAAAAAAAAAGGCAACACTGTTGGCTCTTAGTGGGATAGCAACCTTTTAATTTGTGTTCCTAAATTTGAATCGGCCAGTCCGAATTTCCGAGTGCAGCAGCCTGTACTCAGTGGGCGGCTCCATCCGGCACGCTGGCCGGCGCGCGTCTCTTTAGCAGGATGTTTCTCAGTCCAGCTGTAGTGTGGGGTACTCAGAATCTGAACTGGAGTTTACAAAATACCCTGTCCAGCTTACACTCCTGTTATGTGTAAATACTCTGCGCATCCATTCCATTTGTGTAAAGAATAAAGCACACACAATTATAAAAACTAAGATGTATATTTCATACTAGCTGTGTCCTTGCTTATTTATTCCGGTCCAAGCTCTCAGCTGTGGTTCAGTTGTAAATGCTTGATAGAGTGTTTATAAATATGTCATGAATTTTATTATAAAATATTAATATTAAAGCATTTTTACACTTTATAGCAAATGGCTTCTTCACAAGGCATAATTTGTCTTTTTTCCTTAAAGCAGAATAGTAAAAGAGAATTAATATACTCTTAGTATGTCTTGAGACGCTATCACATCTATCACACAAGAAAGTCACAAGTCTGAAAGTGGGATAGTGGTTTCAAAAATGTCTGACAATACAGAAACTTTTTTCTTTCTTGCACTTTTTTTTTTTCTCTTTGACCTCACATTGACATGGAAGTTGCCACCAAGAAGATTCCCTCTGGTGAAGTACTGCCACTTTCTCCTTAGCACACTTCTGCTCTGTATTAGGTATCATCAGCATCTTGGTGAATAATTATCAGAATTTATTTTTTTTTTAATTAAAGAATTGATCGATGTTTCTGACATCACAGCACAGCCATTGGGACAAGGACTGCAATAATTACATGCTTGTAAGTAGCTTGGTGGAGCATAAACTTCAGTTGTGCTGTAGGGTCCCAACAGCCCAAGAACATTGGGTTTTGGCCATCCCAGGAATGTCTTTGCAGATGGCTTGTGGGCTCCAGGGAGGCCAGTGAATATTGTCAGTCTCCGGCAGAGGCAGAAACACAACAGGGACACTGCTTTCAACACACAGACAGTGTGAAATTCAATCTGTAGAGGACGATGGAGCCTCCATATGGCTCTGGGAGCCACAACTGGCACCACAGGGAGAAAAACTGTCCACAGAGTTTTACATGCATAATCACAAGGATGGTTTGACT